TGACAGTCGCAATAAGTCATGATAACAATTACTCACTATTGAATCATAAGAATCGTATCCCCATCTCTTTTAACCAGACCCATCTAGACAAGATGAAAACTATTCCGTGGAGACTCTTCCCCCACACACTCTTAAACTAAACTCTATCATGAAACCTTGTAAGCCAGTTACTTTGTGCCTTTATAGCCCTCCTCTCCCTAATTTAGGTAGCCAATATCTTAGTTGCCCATCCGTATCTACCCTATGTACAGAGGGGATAGCATTGATATTTGATGTGAAGACTCCTTCCCTCTCTATTGATATTTAGAGTTACTGCCTCCATGAGTATAGGTCAGGTTCATCAAATTGAACCAATTTACCCTTGTTTCCTTTATAAAAAAAAAATTTTTTTTTTTTTAAATCTTCCTCTAGTCGAGTTCTGACTATCAAGCCATTGCAGCTAGGTTAAATGGGTACTGTCTGCAAGTTTGGGTGTTCTTGTGTGTCTCCCCTCACTTCATATAAGCTGGATGCTTTGATCTCAGCTCTAGCCCTCTGTGGCTACATCCTTGTCCATGGGCTCGGGTGTCCCCAGGTCTCACCACACTTTGGAACAACCAACACTTCCTCTTCTCTTTCTCACCTCCAGGTCAACAGGAGTCTATGGGACGTGGTTGAACTCAGGCCATTTCTTCATTGCTGCCTATCCCCTCTTCCACTCACCAGTAGACCAATGTGGTCGCCAGCAAGTTTACATGCCTGCTCATGTGTGCCCTTTGAGTTTGAGTCTTAGAGGTGAATTTGTCCTGAAGGAACTTGATTGCTTGCCTTGATGGCTTGCTGGTGAACAGCTTGCTTGTTCTTGTAGTAGCCAGTCATGCTGACATTTATGTTTTGGGTTTTTCCTGATGGTCTTTCTTTGAAAATATATCTTCTCTCACTCTAGCTATTCCAACATGGACTGCTTGTCCTTGATAGTGGGAATGTCCCACCTCAGAAGGTTCTGGATGGGATTCAGGATTCCACCTAAGGTCCTATACTCTGCAAAGGCTCCACAAGAGGCCTATGTCACTGGGCAAGTTCTAGAACCCCTTTTAGGTATTGCAGTCAGTTATAGGCTGAAGATGGGCTTACAAGTTTTCTCTGTTCTAGAACCCCTTTTAGGTATTGCAGTCAGTTATAGGCTGAAGATGGGCTTACAAGTTTTCTCTAATCATATTTCCCAACATTCCTTTCTATCCCACTCAAGTGTCTATTTTATAATTGTAGGCAAGGGAAAATGATATTTATAAGACAGTCAAGCATCTTAGTATTCTTTCCCCTCTTCAAACTATACCTTGATCCCTGTATCACAGAGCCCTGTTGTTCCAAGGTTGA